TCACTATCACAATTGGAGACACCCATTCAGAATTTTCTACCTCGTAGATGAAGCCAACCTCCTTGAGCTTGTCGATCTCCTCCTTCACCACAAGAGCCGTAGGTGGATTTTTTTGGCGTTGCTTTTGCCGAATACGACGAGCTTTCTTCTCCAACTCGATGCGATGAGTCTCCAACGTCACATGCTTAAGATCTTTGTAACTAAAGGCAAAAACATGAATATATTTGCGAAATATATCCAGAAACCTTGCCTTTTCCTCCTTGGTAACCTTGGAACCAAACCTGAGAGTGGACTGTCGTCGACACACCTCCTCTTCGTTCATCTCCACTTTGTCAGGATCTTTCTTCACTCCAGGCCTAGGCAACAATTCCATGGCAGCAATGACTTGTACTTGAACATTATCATCAGAAGAGTACTCCGATGATGTTTCTTGATCAAAAGTTGAGATGTCTGTGTCAACTTCTGAAAAGCTACCACTCTCTTCACTCTCAGATTACCAATACTCGTCAGTTGGTCTATCTGAGTCAGTGGTGGATTCCACTCCTCTCGTCAAAAGAACCTTAACTCGATGGTTCTTTGGGCCTATCCTCAAATAGCCCTTGTGCCATCGGTCCGTAGTCCTTACCGCCCTCAACCAAGGACGTCCCAACAGCAAGTCGTAGCTAGCTTCCTTGAAAATTTGGAAGGAAAGCAAAGTTTGCACTCCTCTCACACTAACCACAACTTTGTCTACCACCCCTAGTGGTCTTACCTTCTGTTTGTTGGCCATACCAACAATTATGCTAGAAGGTCTAGAAGGTTGCATACCCAACTTCTGCATCAACCTCTCAGACATGGCATTCACAACCGATCCACCATCAACCAACACATCTGATACATCATGTCCATTGATCCTCACTTTGATCTTTGAAGCATGTGTACATACCTCCGAAGCAGCCGCATCCATCACACCAACTCCCACATTGGTCATATGAGCCTTCCCCTTGGATTTTCGCTTCTTGGTCCTTGTGGAGCTAAGACCTCCTCTTAACTCCTTCCGAATGGCTGGATTCAAGGCAATCAGTTGACCAAGTGTTATATTGGCCTTCTGATTTCCTACATCCTCCACCATGTCATACTTAGCTTGAGAAGATGAAATGGAAAAGTCATCCATGCCCAACTTCTTCCTTGGTACTCTTGGTTGACTCACTCCACTTGACCGTGTACTTCGACTTGGCGTGTCCTCCATGAAAATCGACTCGTCCGCAAATCGGGCACGCTTCTTCTCATGAGCAAGGATATCCACTTTCGATTTTGAGCTCTCCCCTTTCTCAAAAGTGCATTGATGAGGGAATACATCAATGGATGCTACTCCCTTATCGTTGGCTTGTTGCGTGGCCGGTGCATTGTTGTTGTGCCGAACTCCATCATGTTGTCGAGGGTTAGGACAATTCCTCTAAAAATGAGGACCTCCGCAAGAAAAGCAAGAAACCGCAAAGTTTCCTGAAGGTGGATTTCCTCTTGGAGGATAATTTCCATACCCCCTAGAGCCTCGTACTACGTTCTGATTCTTCTTCTCTCACAACTGTACTACATTGATCTTGAGGTCTGCTAGAGTCTCCGTGATAGATTTCAACTCATTTTGAAAATCCACACTAGGATTCGCTATCGTGGATGAAGTAGAAGGGTTTGAAACAATAGACCTTCCTACAACCGGTGGAGCTACTTCTCTAGCCACCAAGCTAGAATCATCATCTTCTAAGCTCTCCTCCATTCTAATAGCAATTCGAATGGCTTCAGCCTTAGAAGAGGGCTTCTCGTATCTCACCTTACTTCGAATCTCAGGTCTCAAACCTCCAACAAAGTTCTTCATGAGCATCGCCCTTATCCTCACCATTGTAGCATCCACTTCGTCTTCGCCCTTCCTCAACACCACGTGGAATCTAGATTCCAACTTCTCGGTTCTCTCCACAAAGGTCTTCACCTTCTCGTTCTCTCCTTGTTTCAAGAAGGTGACCTCACACATCAACTTTTCATAACTTTCACTGGGAAGAAAGTTTTCGATCAGGGTCTCCGTTAATGTCTCCCACGTGTCGTCCTCCGAATGCTCCCTCTTGTACTTCTTGTACCACTTGAGAGCAGAATCCTCCAAGAAATCCGGCAAAAGCATAGCCCACTCGTCCTTCTTCCTCTCATTGTTTCCTATGCAAGCCCTTTTGAAGTCCCTAACAAAAGCTTCTACATCCTCATTCTCCTTCCCCATTTCCAACTTATTTTTTTTTATTTTTTTTTCTATTCTATTGGAAATTTATATGGGGCTTCTTAATACAATATAAACAACACTAACTCCATCCTTGGGTAATTCATCAAAGGAAACACAAAAGGAATTGGTTGTTCCAAGATAGCCAAAGCTCTCTCCTAACTAACATAGGTCACCTTCTCGCTTTGACTGTCGTAAGTGTAATCGCCTTTCTCACCTGCACACGGCTCCAAGACTTGAGCCCAATGCACAATCTATCAATTCTCAAGGTTGCCGCAAATTTCATCGCCTTCCGGCGAGCGTCCCTCATGCCACTCCTTCACAATCGCCGCGGAAATCCAGTTCCAAGCCCACAGCAAGAAATTGAGCTTAGCCGCTATGAGTTTTTTGCGATATGCTCTCAATCCGAACTCTAGTACTTTCAATGCCGACAATCAAAGTTCCGAAGCTCATTTCATTGCTGCGATTTCAATTTCCCACTCCAAATCCTCACTGGACTTCCAATTTGAAAATGCACTTTCACAAAATGTCGACGCGGAACTCCCGTTTTTGCTAATGTCCTTCGACGCCCTAACGCATCGTAGACAAGTGCAAATGGGTGATACAAGTGCTGAAGTTTTCCTTTCATTACGCCGAAGGCCCTTCTGTTGTAACGTTGAAGGTGTTTTCGTCAAATCCTTAAGGCCAAAGGCCCTTCTTCGCCTTCGCCTTACCATGTCATCCTTACCTACACTCGTAACTTGCCTCATCCGTTTCCAACGTTCTTGGTCTCGTTAGAACGAGCACACCAAGATCTATCTATTAAAATCCTGCCTAAGTCAAGTTACCACTCATTGACAAAGTTATGAATCATCTACTCTAGTGGATCATAACTCATCTTATTCAACTCTATTGCCTACAAATAAAAACATTAACTTCACCAGAGAGGTATTTAATATGTTTTCCACTATTACTAACTTGGCATCTACCACGGAATCCACTATTTAATCTACTTTGAAGTATTTTTATCCTAAAAGTTAGATTTTCTATGCATCTACTACTCAAACTTCATCTTTATTTATAAAGATGAAGTTTGAGTAGTAGATGCATAGAAAATCTAACTATTTGTGTTTAATAATATGTAAAATCTTGTGTTTCTGAAACATTCTTCAAAAGTATGAAAGATTATCAGAGGGAAAAAATATATTTATTAAATCAAATCTCTATTTATGTATTCAAATCATTGAAGTCGTAATTTTCTATTTAATGTTTTGACTATAGATATTACAAAATAAAATTTATTTAATTCATGCTTCATCAAAAGAAATTACACCGTCAAACAATTTCATCCAATGATTGTTTCAATCTTATAAAAAAAAATCATCTTTTTATTCTAAAATAGATATAATTTCTTGCAATGCTTCAAAAACATTTTCAAATTGTAAACTTAATCAACTTAACTTTCACTTAAAAAAAATGGTCATTTAGGAGTTTTACTCATATTTGGAAATGATTTTATTTTTTAAACATTTTATAATCATTTTTATTATAAATATTAGTGGAACTTTATGTCCATGGAATTGTAGAAATTATTGAATTTTCTAGATTTGAAAATTTTACATTTCAAAATACACAAACTATCCGAGACAAGATCATTCAGCAAGCTTTCTTAGAAGTAAATTTTACATTATGCACAATATGTACATGATGCAACTATTTTGATTTACGCACAAAAGCATAAATTAATTGACATAAATGTCATGTATTGTCATACTCTTCTTAGTTATGTCATAGCCATTTGTACTATATATTTTTGATAGTATTGATTCACAATTAAACATTAAAAGACAAAAAATTTCAATTGTTGTTTATTCAATACAACAATTAATTTTTTAATAGTTCAAACTTCAAATGTATCATGTTATTAATAGTATTTAAAGAATTATAAAATATAAATCTATAAAATAATAATGAATGATAAATAATTTAACCATGAATATAAAAAATATCTTTATATTTTAAATTTATATCTATATTTATTTATTTTTCTCCTAACCTACAAAATAATAATACATCATCATCACTAACTATGAAACTCTATATAAATTTATAATTTGAATAATAAGATTATGAAAACATTGATGAATAGTCTGATGTTTCAAACTAATATATTTGAATCATCAACCAACAAACTGAAATTATTTTCATTTCACAAAAGTCAATTTTTCATCTTGTTTATTTATCTTGGATAATTTTCATACATTTTTAAAATAAATACATAATATTTTTGAATGAAATTTTTTAAATTTTTTTTTTACAAACTTTTATTATGTTATAACATGAATTGTTATTAGATTCTACTTTTGCTTATTTTCTAAAACTCATTAAAAAATAAATTTGATCAACAGATCTGCTGAATTGAATATATCATCAATCTTGACATGTTCATCAATTTATCAAAAACTATAGTTTAATCAAGTGATAACTTATATTTATTTGTTTCACTCTACTATCCATCATTTGATTTGTAGCTAGATGCAATGCATTTGAACTATTATAATGAAGATCTACATGCTCATGTTTCAATCTCATATGTGTGATAAGTCTATTCAAATAAACAATCTTGTAAAATAGATTTTCTAACGAGAAATGTTAAATCGACCCATCTCTTTACTAAATTGATACATCACGTGATTTTTAAATTTTTTTTACGGGTCGCCGGTCGATTTAACCATAACATAACAAACTAACTGTTAAATTTAATTGTTATCTACTCATCAAGAAGGCACCCTTTGAACGTGTGGTATGTGAAACCACTTTCAACGTCATGGGGCGTGTAGGTTTCCGTTTTCAAGCTTTTGCCATACAAGCTCTTCAAGAAGCTGTTGAGGTGTACATGGTACATTTGTTTGAAGACACAAACTTGGCAGCTATGCACGGAAATCGGGTTACTATTCAACCAAAGAATATGCATTTAGTTCGTAAGATTAGGAAAGAAAATGATAACTCAGTAATGTAGAAAATGCAACTACAATACTATCCTATTGTTGAGATGAGAATACATGATGTTGAGTACATGTACGCACATTGTGTCATATCTGTCTACAGATTCTACATTGTCTTGTGAGCTCATGAGACAATTCTAGCAATTCAAACTGAGACGGATCTCGTTGTGTCAAAGAATCGTTATTGCCGAAGCTGCTATGAGTTGCAGTTTCATTCTGAGTTCCACTTCCACTTGTGGAACCCAAAGGACATCCGTGAGTTTGTTGTACCGATGGATTCTCGAGCGCCAATCTTTCTGAAGCTAAGTTCAATAGCTGGGTGCGCACTTGGCTTTGTTAATGGGGTGCCAACAAACGATAAGATGCTTGTACACCATCCAAAACCGACCGCAACGGTTCAGAAGAATACGTGCCACCTTGAATTGCCGTCGTCAACTGTCCAATGTTAACCAAGTGCCAGAGAGGATGAAATTCGTCCATGGAAAGTACCTTATGGATAGCATGCATGTCTCTAATCTGATGCAAGCATGGTATATCCAGTGTTTATAAAAAAAGTTATGTTGTGTTGAAAATAAATCCATATCCTTTCAGAGCTGGTCTGCGCTTCTATCTCTCTTATCTAATTTTGAAAGCGTGTGATAATCAAATTTGAACATCGGATAATTCTTTTGTTAACGCTCTTACATAGAATTTGACAAATGCATGATGTCCTTCTACTCGTGAAGTGACGACGTTTCCAAAGTGCGTATATCGGTTGGTTCACGCAGATACAAATCACTCCTTGTAAGGTATCCAAGTTCGTCGTAAGTACTTCAACAGTTCAGGTAAGTACTCGTAAGAAGACTAAAGCTGATCTCAGTGCGTCGTAAGTCTTCCACCAAAGAGGAATTGATTACATTGTTCCAGTGTTGGAAGAATGCAATCCAATCTTCATTAGGTCCAAAGTATTTCATGTAGTTGGCAACAACATTCTTTTGAATGTTCCAGACGCAAAGTAAATGTGCCGATGTTGGAAACGTATGCGGTAGTGCATTCAGCAATGCCTGCTCACGATCGATGATGATCGTCATCGGTCTCGATTGTTGATTGAGAGTTGCCAGTCGTTGCAAGACCCATTGATACGCTGGCTCCGTCTCTTTCTTGAGAAATTTGACCGCAATCGTAAACGATGTGTTGAAACTGGTAATGTTTAATTGCATGAAACATTGGCATTTTAAAGCGGTTCGTCTTATAATTGTAGTCCAATTGTGTATGGATACTTGCGTAGAAGTTGAATGCATTCATGATGAGCAAAAAACAGATGTGTGAAACGATACTCAACATCAGTACGATATTCAAACTGATAATCGGCTTCTCGAAGGGCGTCTATGAGAGCAACAATAGGTGGACGATCTTGTAGATCAGCTTGACGAATGCGAACTTGTTCGTTATAGATTGTGCACGCCGTCGCAATCGTGCCAGTGTCCGCCTGACGTAGAGCTTTCAGAATGTTTTTTGATGCAATGCCAGCAGCTATCATCTGTCCTGCCATTGCTCGTTCTCTAGGTTGAATGCGGCGAGCGGTAGGATGACCAATGATGTCAATTGAATACTCGTGGTTGTGCTTGGCATTCCGTACCAAAAGATGTCAGCGTCCGTCAGCTTGTAGTAGTCGTCCATATAGTAGAAAGAGACATCCAACCAATTGAGAAGCAATATTGCGACGTTGCTGTGATTCAACTTCTTCAGCAGTATGTTGTGTGGGTGTAGTATCACCACGATCGCACTTGAGAATCACTCTGTTATTATCAGACTGACGTTTGACAACAACGTAACCTTGGTTGTGTGCAAAGGTTTGCACACTTCTCATCATCTCTTCCAAAGAGCTGTAGGATGCTTCAGGTGGCGGTAGCATTATGCAAGTATCGTCTTCCACACCAAAAGTTGACTTGTTTGGCAGCAGAGCAACTAAAAACGTGCTTGTAAATGATACCCAATTGTTTTTTGAAGAGAGTAACTAAGTGATTGACTGACTGTTGAAAGTGATTTCACGTACCACATGCTCAAAGGGAGCCTTCTTGATGAGAAGATAACAGTTAAATTTAACAGTAAGTTTGTTATGTTAAATTTAACATTAAGTTTGTCATGTTACTGTTAAATCGACCGGCGTCCAACAAAAAATAATCACATGATGGGTCAATTTAGTACGGAGATGGGTTGATTTAACATTTCCCTTTTCTAACTAATGTGTCCACCTCTAAGTGTAAATACATAACTAGTTGTAGATTTTTGCTTTATCTTGTCCATAGTTAGCATAAACATAGCATAATGAGAACTTGGCATTATTTTATAAATCATCAAAAAATAAATTGTAATACTTACTTTTCTTCACAAAATTGAAAATTCATTTCATTGCTCTTTGATACACATTATCTAAATTTGACATGTATTTATTCATTTTGCCAATAGCTAGAGCAACTTTATGCCTTGTGCTCAACTTCAGATATTCACAACTTTGTCTTTGTCATAGTAAATTGATGACATTTTTACTTTGTCAATGACATCGGTTGCACATTGATCTATGACAATGTTGAAGTTCATTTCCAAAAAAATCCTTAGTCTTTTATAATCTGTCATGTTAAATCTGTCAACCACACATTGTACATACTTGCTTTGACTTGACAATAATCATTTTTTCTCTATGAATATATTCTTAATATTATTCAAATCCTTTGTCTTAAATGTAAACTTAAGCTTGTTGTTGCATCTTATGATATCTTTGCTTGATTCTTTGCCTAAATGAGCATGTTAACTACATATAGTACTTGAATAATGAGATTGAAAATCTCATTATTCAACTTCTTCATGTATATACATGAATCATATACACCCCATGAAAAGTTTTGTGCTTTCATGATCTTATCAAATCTTCCATTACACTATTAAAAAGCTTGTTTTAATCCATAAAATGATTTCAACACTTTGCAAAGCAACTTATCTTGAACTTTTTCCTCCATATCTTCTAGTAGTTTTATGCAAATTTTCTCCTCTAGAGATCCATAGAAAATTGCAATAATTACAGTAATCTAATACATAATTAGCCTAAATATTACAAATGCATATACCAATCAAATTGTAGCATACTTTGCTACAGTTGATAATATTTCGTGATAATCAACACCTTTATCCTATGTAAAATTTCTAACCATCAAACTTTATTTTTTTAAAAAAATTGTTTTATGTTGGATCATCTTTTAACTTGTAAATACATTTGCAATTAATCAAAACTTGATTACTTCAAAGTTCCACTAACTCTCAAATCTTGTTATTCATTAGCAATTGCATTTCATGTTTCATATTAGGATTTCATTCAAGCTTATTGACAAAACCTTGTACTTCTTTATACAAAATATGTTCTTCGTCTTTCAAGATCCTAACCTCGGAACTTACTCTCACTCAAGTTTACCTCATATGGCTTTGTGGAATCTCATCATGGTTCTAGAAAGCAAAAACTTATTTTCAACTTATTTGTGTTTGAAACACCATACAAATTTTTCATCCATCTCTCAATTACAAACATTTATCCATATTTCAAAAAAACTAGTGTAACTTGAACTTATATTGATGAAACAAATATTCACACAATGAACTTTCAAAACTTGCATTAGAGATTTTTTACCACTCTATATATATAATTGTAGAAAATATTGTAGTATTACATGATAATTATCATCTAATTTACGTTTACTATGATAAATCATGGTAGATTTGATTAGTTTTCAATACGTGACAACATGTCATTGGCTTACCAAAACTTTATAAAATGAAATTTGTCCCTAGATTGAGGTGAAAATATGTCATTTGAAACCTTCAAAATTCTACAATCTCCACTTTCCACTAAGTCAATTTTAGATTTAGTGAAACTAGTGAAATTTTTTTACTTAGTCATACCAATCAAAACTAGCACGTAATCAAATTCTTCTCTCCTTGAAATCTTGATCCAAAAGAAAAAATGGTAATGTTCATTCAAATCTTCTATAAATTTTCTAATTATTTTATCAAGAATAGAGATCAAGACATAATTAGCTAGATTTACTCATAATTAATCTAATAATAGTCAATTCTTTGGCTACTTCAACTATTATTTCACACATAAAACAAAAGATCTTACAAATCAATGCAATGTCATCATTTTAGTTAATTTTAATATCATGATCTTCAAGAATGGATGAATTGATTCATAAACCATACCTTAGAATAGCTCTACTAATTTTATTTGATGATATAGTAGGTTAATAATTTTGGTTGGTCCACATCATCTGATGCAAGTACTTGACCCTAACCAACGATAATTTTCTACTTTAATTCATGCGCTAATTTGTTGATAAGATTTATATAAGAGTGCAAAAAATCATCCTAGATATCTCATCTTTATAGTTGTGTTGCATCTTGGAATGAAACACTTCCTTTCTGTCTAGTGTTACAATGATATAATAATTATCTTTACTTGAGTACAAGTCAATCGTCATAGAATAGCAAAAATGTGATGATAGCATTCACTTTTTGAGAGTGTATTGGAACTAATTGAAATAATTGATCTATATGTAGACAAAATAGCAAAAAAAAACTTGCAATTTTGCATATATGAAGGTGATTAGAAGAATTTCAATATTGCAATGATCCATCTACAATCTTTTTTATATTCATCTTTATTTTATGGAAAAATTAAATCATTTTTGGATAAAAATTGTGGTACTTTTAAAATGAAAGTGATGGAATATATAATTTTATTGATAATTTCAAAAGTTCGTTACAAAAATCTTGAGATTGTAACATCTGCGTTTTATATTGAATGTTTGATAGATAAATATATCATAGCTAATTTGTTCTGGTATGATTTGACGTGTACGGAAAGATTAAAATGATATATTAAAAAGATAGCGTGTGAAGAGATTTTCATGTGAATAATTATGACAAAAAATATTAAAGAGTTGTTATAAATTACCTTTACTTTTTATGGATCTTGAGTTAAAAAAGTATATAGACATCATACTTA